ATTCTGGGGCAGGGGCTGGTGTGTGGGTCAACATCAGTCCCAGCGGAGGCAGAAATGGGCAAGGGGGGAAGGGGGGGGGGCATGCTTTAGGTGGGAACTGCGTGCCCCTGGGGAAAGGGGGGTAGAGGGTTGGTCCTATATTGGGGCCGAGGGAGAGCGGGAGACTCGCCTTGGCGGAGGCAATGTAAGGCTGAGGGGGGGAGGGGGAGGGGGAGGGAGGGGCGATCTCTCTCGAAGAATTCTAACATCCAGTTTAGTATTTCTTTCCTATTTGGTTTGCCTCTCGAGGAGGTTGTAGGAATAGATGCTATCTGGCAAGTCATCTGTGATCCTGCGAAGGGTGGTCGAAAATTCGGTGGCCCTCGAAGACCAATGCTGGAGCAACGCTGGCCGGAGCTGGAGCCAGGTGGCGCAACTCTGTGACCTAGCTTAGTGGGGGAGTGAGGCCTGGTAGAGAGCTCTGGGGGGCTGTTTGCGGGGGCAGTCTCAGTGGTCATCGGGCGTCGTAACTGGAGCAATGCTGGCCCGTGCTGGAGCAAGGTGGTGCAACTCTGTAACCTAGCCTGACGGGAGCATGAGGCCTGGAAGAGCTTCGGTTCGTGCTGAAAACAGCCATGCTGGTGGAGGTCGTAGGTGGATTGAATAGGTTTCACCTATCTGATTCGTGGTTGGGAGGATTTTTTACACTAATATTCTAGTGACTTGGTAGAGTTTGTTGAATAGTGGACCATGAATGTTTCTGAGTTTTCCATTTTCTTCAATTGTTCTTAGCCGAAGCCGGGTAATGGGCCCCGATAGCTCGTTTTTGTATTCTGATATGGGACGCTGGGCCCGGTTCCCAGCCGTGTTTCTCCCCACGAATAGATTGGAGCATCGTCTCATTAAAAAAAAAAAAAAAAAAAACGAACGTGCCTAGCTCAGCTGATGCACCAATGAACTGTTGAAAAACAGACCCAAGTTCAAATCCAGATCCAATCAGATGAACAGAATAAAATATTTTTGTATGCATCCAATCAGCTCAATGATGACATCTCAAGGTCGTCAGACTCGCCACCCTTTTCCCTTTTCTATCTTTTTGCAAAATAAAAGAAATGTTCGGCAGTTAGTGCAGCGGAGATCCCAACTAAGCTGCCATCAATATAAAGGAACATAGGGTCTCGCTGCAGTACTCTCCACTCTCCGAAGTCGGAGAGTTTTTCATCGCCGCACCAACTATACAAAAAAAACCCTGAAACGAACTTGTGTAGCCGTCAGAAACGACCTTTTTTCCCAAGTGCACTATACGAAATCGGAGTGCCTGGAGTCTGGGCGGCAAATGCAGATCATGCCGTGTCCTCGAGCGCTGTCACCTCAGCAACCTCCTTTTTTTCGGGTGGACCTCAGCACCACTCTCCAGGATGCTCCGAATTCGAAGAGTGTGCCTGGAGTCTGGGCGGGCAAATGCAGATCACGCCGTGTCCTCGAGCGCTGTCACCGTGTCTGCTAGTGCACTCACGAACAAGAGTCTCGGAGAGTGGACAGCTAGTGCAGCCGTGAGCCAAAATTCACGATTTCGGAGATGTTTTCAGCTCTCCGCGCACTCTCCGATTTTTCACCGAGTGGAGAGTCGTGCAGCGGGACCCATACGCGGCATTCAACACTGAATCGATTATTATACAAACATATCAAACAACACAATCTCTCTCGTGCAGCTGACCACCCTCGGAAGAGGGAGAGAGGAGCGATGCGAAGGGAAACAGACAGAGAGGCAAGCGCAGAATGGAGGCGGTGGATTCACGCAAGGCATGCGCAGGCAAGCAGAGGGGCATTTACACTGATCAGGGGGCAGGGTGGCAGCTGGACGGGCAAACGTCCAGAGAGCAAGCAACAGGGTGTAATGTTGGTAGATAAGACCAGATTCATAGTATCCGTGGAGCCCGACTCTCCTCCGGCCGCCAGAGCTGCTTACCAAGATCCCTAACCCATAACCCAAAAATGAGAAGATTGGCAAAAAAACGGCCTACTTCCAAACAGCAGAGCTGGCATCGACTCTCTGAGGTCCATCATTCATAAGCACAGTCGTCATGGCCGCTATGGCAGCCATGGCATCCACAGGGCTAGCTGCTCTCGCCTGACGCCTACCAGCCAAATAAATGAGATGAGACAAAATGAGGAGGAACATATGACTGTGTGCGCCCAGAAGGGAACGGCGGGAATGGTACATGCATGCATATGCTCATACGTTGATAGAAATCGGACCAGATACGTTCGGAATGCATGTGGAGAACAGATCGGACCAGATACGTTCGGAACGTAAAATGGTACACGCATGCATATGCTCATACATATGACTGTGTGCCCCCAGAAGGGAACGGCGGGAAGAAACGTAAAATGGTAGATGCGTAAAATGGAGAAATAAGCAAAAACACAAACAGGAGGAAGCAGGTGCAGGCACAAGCCAACACTTGTAAAGCACAATCAAAACCATCTTCAGAGGGCTTCGCTCCACTACTCAAAACATTGACTATGTATGTGGAGAACAAATCGGACCAGATACATTCAGAATGATCCAACATATTTTGAATGTATCAAGACAATTACCAGTTATACATTAGAAGGTTATGTAGTGCGGCAATGCCCAAAGTAACCGTATCAATCATATCAATCATTAACCTGCAGCCGAGGCCCGACTCAAGAGAGAGCAAATGCTTTGCAGTGTGCACACATAAAACTTAATCAAACAAACCAGGCAGCATGTCCCCTTATGCACAAACACTCACCTCAGCACCAACAACACAGACACACAAAAAAAAGCGAGTATACTCTGATTCCTCCTCTTCCCTTCTGATTCTGAAGCACTCAAGGCAGTACAAAGTACTTCTACGAGAAGCAAAAATAATGGCTACGACGGCTATCCCTCCCAACTTCCCAAGACAACTCTAAGCATCTACAACACTCTCCCAACTGCAGACGTCAGACTTCTACGAAACTTCTATGAAACTTCTACGAAAATTCTACGAAAATTCTACGAAACTTCCACGAAGATATCTCAATCTGTTTCCGTGTTCACGCATGGATGGCAGGAGGCAAGTTCACGCAACCGGCTGGTAGAAGTTCGTAGAACTACCATAGTGGATGCGAACGGTGAGCTGGGGTATACATGCTTGCGTTCAGATCTCGGCAAATCCTGCAACGGCAAAGCCCATCCATGTTTGGGAATGGCCAATACGACCCCTTTTGCAAGTCTCTGCCTTCGGTCACAACTCTGAGTTGAAGGCAAGGCACTTGGGTTTTTGTGGGACACAGTGCTAGAGCTTCTGTGTCCCAAAGATGAGGATGTACGCGCAGAGCTGGTACACGTGCCGAGAACGGCTGCCTCACATTCTCAGTCTATACAAGCCAGTGTGGGCAGGCGTTGGGATGCATCTACCTACACATATCTCCGTCCACACCTCTCTATCTCCATCCACACCTCTCTATCTCCATCTGGAGGACATCGTGTTCATGGGAACGAGTGGTAGAGCTTCCTAAATATGTTTGTGAGCGGCTATGAATGCCTGCCTCACATTCTCTGTCGATACAAGGCAGCTGTGGGCAGTCGTTCGGACACATGTACCTACACATATCTCCGTCCGCACCTCTCTCTCTCCGTCCACACCTCTCTATCTCCATCTGGAGGACATCTGGTTCATGCAAAAGAGATTGCTAGAGTTTCCTAATATGTTTGTGATTGGCACTCTGGTCAATGCTGATTGCTCGCACCTACCTCACATCTCGCCACATTCCGCTGTAACACAAGCCAGCTTTGGGCGGTTGTTCGGACCCGTTTGCACATTCTCAATTTTCCGCACGACCAGCAGACCATCTAGAAGAACACGCTGAAGAGCCACAACCAGATAGAAGGAGAGAAAGCACGACAACCACAACCAGATAGAAGGAGAGAAAGCACAACAGAACACAAGGATAAGTCCAAGTAGCAACCCACTGGCCTAGCTCAGTTGGTACATCCATGAACTGTTGAAATACAGACGCGAGTTCGAATCCAGATGATGGAACTAAATTAGTAAAATATTACAACTTTGAAGTTTGAATTGCCTACCGGTAGACCGGTCGGATCGGTGAAGGATATCTCAAGGCTGTCACCCTTTCCAAAAAAAGAAAGAATGAATGATAAGTCGCACACAATGGCATAATCAATCAGTGTTAAGAGACTTCTATGGACTTCTACTATTCATAAATCGCTCACTATGGTAACATTATTAATTTTTATTATCCTGCAAAATATATTCTCTTTCACATGTTTTGTGATTTATTTTTTTCGTTTTTTTTTTTTTTTCCCCCTATGGAGGGACCTTGCCTGGGGCTTGCCCTGCCAGAACGCTCGGGCCACCACCGAGACCTAAGCGGCCTGGTTGGTAGCCCAGACGGTTCCCATATTGTGCATGTCGCAGAGCTTCTCACAGATAATGCTTGTTTTTTTTTTTTTTATTACTGTAATACTTTGGACCTACGTCACCGAACGTGCACGTACGGGATCATTCCGTACGAAATGTACAGGTAATATCTGTATGGGAACCTGTACGGGAACCTGTACGTCTTGTACGCCCCCGTACGGGAAAAAAAAAAATAAAGGTTCATTAAAAAAATCCAAAAAAAAGAAAATGTTATGCAACAGCACAAAACAAGCAACATTTGGCTGAGTGTCATCTGAAGATTCTTATTATAATTTGAGAAAAAAAATAAAAACAATTAAAAAAACAAAATGGCAAGGGCCTGAGCGTACGAGTAAGGAGTACGACTCGTACTCGTACGAGGGTGAGTACAAGTCGCAACGTAGCTTTGGACCATTTCTCGATTTATGCGGGCCATTCTTGCGTAGGGGCCATGCTAATCTTCTCTGCATCGTTCCAATTTTAACGGATGTCCAGAAGGAAAGAAAGAAAATACAGACAGAATCACTCCGGGTTATCTATAGATTCTAATATCATTCTATACTTCGAGGATACAAACTCTTCTTGTTCTAACACAATCGATGCTGTTGATGAAAAGATGAAGAATTCAAATCTTCTGTGATACACTAATGTTACACACTACCCTCTTCCAAAAAAAAAAAAAAAAAAAAAAAAAAAGGAGGATCCAGAAGAGCAGATGCTGTGGGGGATTTTTATTTTTTTTGGACCATTTCTCGATTCATTCGGGTCTCCTTCCGCAGGGGCCATGCTAATCTTCTCTCTCTGTATCGTTTCAATTTTAACAGATGTCCTGAAGCACAGTCTTCGACGAACGCTAATATGCATCATGGGCTTGTTTTCTTCTCTACTTGCACGAAGTCATCGGGCGTTCCAATTCCGAAGACTCCGAACCTTTGAGACCGTTTCTACGATCTTGTTATGTGTTCGATGGATTCACAACTCAAACCCGCATTCAAAAAAAATGTTCCCATGCACATCTGCAATGACAGGCAGACTGGAGAGAGCAGATTCGCACCATAGCCATGGAGAGAGATTGCACGGCAGAAGTCAAAGCCAGATATAAAAATTGAGAGAAAAATGTTTCAATCAATTAGTAATTTATTAATAAATTATTATATTACACCCCCTGCTCTCCTCTTGTCAACTGAACAACTCCAAGAATCTCAAGCACGAAATCTGTTCCACCTCCGATTAACCCCCGACAATACACTTCAACGAAGCTTCACTGAAACGTCCTCTTCTCCCTACGACCCCCAGCCTCCAATGATAGCTCACTGTTGAAAGCAGCATCCCATCGAGCCCCGAGCCTGTGAGTACACGCACTGATCTGGCATGAGCCAGATATCAAGTCGCAGCGCCGCAAACGACCGTGAAGAAGAAGGCGAACCTCAATGACGGAGATGATGGCTGCTCTGGTATGGCCGCAACCAGCAACAAGCCGCTTGATGAACAGCGGCGTCCTTCAACCCCCACAAACAACAGCGTGATGGCAGTGTCATCAGCACCTGGAAGACCTCCTACCGGTGCTGCCTCCTCAAGCAGCAGGGCGCCCCAGCTATGGCTGCCCAAGTTCCCCTTCGAAGAGGAGGAAGACTGAGCGCTGGAAATAGTGCGGCTCCCGTACTACTCCCGTCGCCACTTCCAAAAAAACAAAAAGGAAGAGAAAAGAACCTCAAACTTGTCGGCCTCTCCCTACTTCTACCCGACTTCCCTAAACCTACAACATAGCAGTCACCTACGAACCTATCTGACTGTTGATCTGCCTACATGCATCTGGATGGAAATCTAGACTAAGGGGACCCAAGACTACGAACCTATCTGACCGTCGATCTGCCTACATGCATCTGGATGGAAATCTAGACTACGGGGACCCAAGACTAGGACACACAAACGAGAGACCTACGGGCCTACCAGTTTCCAGAAGAGCAGAAAAGGACAAAACAGCAAGACCTGAAGGGTCTCAGACTGCCAAATAGAGACTACCAGCGACAGGTTCACGGATCAAGCCCAGCAGGACTCAAAGCTAGTAATCAACACATACAAACTGTAGGTCACGGGATCAAGTCCCGAAGGGATCAGAATATGCAAACAGCAGACAAACTTAGTGTACAGCCCGCGCGAGCAATCGCAATTCATTGCAATCTCACCTACCAAGGCCTTTGAGCAAGAATCTGCCCCGTCAGTGACAACGACCTGAGGTATTTTCTTCTTCTACTTGCACTAACTTGTCGGGGATTCGAACTCTAAACCTTTGAGACCTCTTCTACGATCTCACCTCCCAGCGGCACATTCTCGTAACTAAAACTCTGCCCCATAAGTAACAACGACCTGAGGTGGACATAGGGCCACTGCACTCAAGTAGGATTTTTTAAATCCGGATTCAGACGCCAACAGCTTCCGCTTTGACTATCAACGGTGACAGCAGAATCATTGTTGTTACCATCTTCACCCAATCTGCATCTGAACCCAAAGTTGCACCAAATACAGCTATAATGACTGGAGTCACTGGACGTTCTATTGGTATTAACTGTAGCTGCTGCAGAGTCTGCTACTGGGCTTACCATTCTTGTGATTACTTTTCGAATTTGTGGCACTCTCGAATAAAAAACCTGAGCAGATCTGGACTTTGTTTCTCAATGCATCTGATCTCTCAATGCATCTGATCCCCCCCCCCCACATGCCCAGCACACAAAGCACCTTTTTAAAAATTAAAAGTGGTTTTCCTTTGTTAAGTTTAAGTAAATTCGCTGCTTTTCTGCGTGATGTTAGACGCCTCACTTACCCCGAATACAACGTGCTTTCCATCCAGCCAGTCTGTCTTCTGACACGTAATGAAAAACTGCAGCATCACAATTGCAAAAATTAGGTTTACAGAACGAAAACAAAACCCTTCAAAAACAGTTTCTAACTTTCGTTCTATAGCAGAATAAAACATACAAAACCTACGCATTCCATAAAACAACGAAATAATAAAAATACATTAACCAACACGAACTCATTGACCCGCATGCATGCATTTGTCTTAACCAACCAAACTGAAAGCAGAACTGAAAGCAGAACTGAAAGCAGAACTGACAAAGGCCAAGGGGGAGGACGTTCTGGTGTGTTGACGCTGGAGGACGTTCATGAGCAAGAGGAACAGCCCTACTTGACCGACTAAATGAAGGAGAAGAGGCAGCCGCGCAAGGGGGAGGACTGTGTGTCCGCCATGGCAGCATGTGTGAAGTGTGTCTGTGCATGCCGTTGTGTGCGTCTGTGCATGCTATGCGGTGAGCGAAAGAGAGCAGTAGTGTTGACGAGGGATTGCGATGTCAGCGCCCTGACGTGCAGTTGCTGCCCGGATCCTTGGGGACAAGGGATACATCCCTGTTATGGGCCGAATCGGTATCATATGAAGACTTGCGCTGAACTCTGAGTGACACAGCTTTGTGGGTTTTGAAGTTTCATGGAGTTTCTGTTTGACGTGCCCTCTCGAATTCGCAAGTGTGAGTGAGCATACGCGAAGGTCGTCACCAAACAAATAAATGAATTTCGACTTTCAAAAAACTTGATGGAATACTCTTTCTCAAAAGAGGGTTGTCCACAACAGGCGTCGCTCCCCAGTGGAACAGAGATGAAGTTATAAAGAACAGAAGCCAAAAAAGGGACAGAAACGCAGCACTGATACCCATAGCATTTATGGTGACAAATTGACAATAAAAAGACCACCGTCTTCCCCTGAACAGAATGTACGTTTTTTATTTATTGCTGTATTTTGGGCACCTTTCAGTCTAGACTCTAGATACAGTGATAACGACTGTACGTTCTATCAGGTGAAGAAGGCAGTTGCCAGAAAGCCTACCAAACTACCAGCTTGTGCGAGAGCCTTATTGGGCTATCTGCTCTGATGTCATCAGCACCTCAGCGCATTTTTGGCGTATCGTGTTAATTTTTGCTTCTAAACGAACGCACAGAAGGCTGAACTAACTGAGTACTTCCGACAGTGTACTCGTCACGTTTGAAAACTCATACTCCTAAATAAAGTCAAGTCACAACAGTGCAAAACCATCACTACCTTCTTTCTCTCTCTCTCTCTCTCTCTCTCTCTCTCTCTCTCTCTCTCTCTCTCCTGTCTCTTATACACATCTAGATGTGTATACTGGNTCTCTCTCTCTCTCTCTCTCTCTCTCTCTCTCTCTCTCTCTCTCTCTCTCTCTCTCTCTCTCTCTCTCTCTCTCTCTCTCTCTCTCTTCACAGCAGCATTCCTACACAAATATTTCACCTAACCAGCAGACAGAAACCAGGGATGAAGGTGGATCAGCCAGATGACTTCTCAGGCATCTGCAGGTCCAGGTGCCGTTGCTCAAGGATAGAGTGGAGGCATAATAGTTTGCCTCCTCTCCAATTCCTGTAAGAAGTGGAACAAAAAGATACCACCTTTCAGAAAGAAAACGACACTCTTTAGAGTCTGTAGAGTCTATAGTCTATAGAGTCTATAGAGTCTATAGGGTCTATAGTACTCTACACTTCTCCTAGTTGCCACCCTCTCCAATTGCGAGGCCCCACCGTACGTCGCAGCTGAATAAAAAGGGTGCAGTCACTTCACAAATTGCGGCACAAAAGCGACAAGCTTCACAATTTGAGAGAAAGGAGGGTGGGGCCTCAACACGTACGGTCAGCACTGTCATGCAGAGTATGTGTGGATGGAATTCAAAGCGGAGCCGATGCCTCGGTGAGAAAAAGGAAGAAAGGGAAAGAAAAAGAACAAAATAGCAGAATCTAAAGCTTTAGCGTCACCGAAAATAAGCCTAGCTCAGCTGGTACGCCCATACAGATCTGAGTTCCAATCCTGACGGACCTCGATGAATGGACTACGGTCAGTCACAGATTGATGAAGATATCCCGAGGTCGTCGCCCTTTTCAAAAAAATAAATTGGGAAAATTTTTCAAAAAAACAGGAAAAAAGAAAAGCTTCAGCATCTATGACAAGAACATGGTACACCAGAAAAGAGAAGGAAAAAACTTTAAAAAAGAGAAAAACAAAAAATAGTAAACGCAGAGTGGGCCCCTTGGGAAAAAAAATTGTCGAACCAGTGAGCCTTCAACAAAAGACCTGGCAACCCTGCTAAGCCCACATAAACCCTGCTAACCCCCACATAAACCCTGCTAACCCCCAAATCAACCCCACCCCCAAAACCAACAACTATGGATTGCATCGGGGAGGGTTGCTACTGTCTTCACCCGAATAGAACGCCCAGTCATTACGGCTGTATTTGGGCAACTTTCAGTCTAGATGCAGCGATAATGACCGGACGTTCTATTCAGGTGAAGAAGACGGGACATCAACATTCATTACAGGGCACACTTCTGTTGTTTCCCCATACAGAAACGAACGGAGAGAAAAGAAAAAAGGATGGAAAGCAAACGCGAAGGAAGAAATGAATGCAAGGGAGAAAAAGGGAGGAGAAGAGAATCGCAGACAAGCAAGAATTAAGAGAAAAGTGCCGCAAGCCAAGGGAGGGAATGGGAATAATAGCAAGACATACTGTTAAGTTCCCC